TATATACATTCCACTACGGAGGAAACCCGGAAGTGAGGCAATCCATCGCAACGGACCCCAGAGTTTAAAAACCTGGCGGGAAAACACACCGACGCTTCATCAGAGGCTGCACTGAGGATGTTACCAAGCACGGTAACGAAACGTCTGCGGAACAACAAACCAGCTCGGCGAGCCAACCAACCTCGATAACCAACATAACTTTTTGCCCTTGAATATGTTCAGGAGGAAACAATCCAGTTATGATGAATAGTAGAGTTCTGAATTGTTTTGCAAAGATGCATTACATGTTTCTTCGACCATTATAATTATTATTTTTTCTAATCATAAGCGTTAATGCTGATGAATACATTGGATGAGAGGGCCTTCTTACAGAAATTTGAAAGCAAACGTTCTAGCACTTTTCTATTTTTACAGATTGAACGAAAAACTTTGGAAAAGGAAATGGGATCGCTTGGTTTAGATATGGATGACAAAGATGATGTAAGGTTTTTTTAAACTAAATATTACCTAAAATTGTTGAGTTTTGATGAAGGGTCACTGGACCCAAAAGGTTAACTCTGCTTTCTTTCTATAGATGCTGCCAGACCTGCTGATTTTTTTTCCCAGAAATTTCTGTTTTTATTTCAGATTTCCAGCATCTGCAGTTTTTTGTTTTACTTAAAGTTGAATGGTTCAGTTCAAAAAGAGAAAACAGTGTTGGCTGTGGCCTAGGACCAATGTATATATTTGTTTTCATTGTGTTGCTGGGTACTTGTAGTGATGCTTTGTGGAAAGTGGGTGCTCCTTCCCAAGAAGACAGGAGGAAAATAAATGAAGAATCTTTTCCTTTTAATCTTTCCCCACCTCAGCCGTATGGTCCAACCACTAATGTGCACTTCCCAGCAGTTGATGTAAGGTGCTGTTGAATCACACAGATGTTTCCTCCCAAATCATGGGGGAAGTATTCCCTGTTGGTTTGTGGCAACTTTCGAAAGGGTACCTTAAAATTGGACTGAAGTGATGTAATAAATAATGAAATTACAAAATTGGCTGATTGCTTTGAATTAAGCAAGAGTAATATGGCACTGTATAATGTTGGCTTGTATACTTGGTTTCTAATTGCGTGGTCTGATTGCCAAATTTGGGCATTTTTTGCAAGGTCAATTATGGACTGGTCTGTAGGAATTATGAATTTTCCTAGCTGTTATTCAAAAGATTATCCTCTCGAAGTCAAATATGTTAATATTAGGCCTCAGTAATAGGCTTTCAAAGCATTGGAAGAAAATTTTCAGTGGGGGCATTTTTATGCCGTTTTGAAATGCAATAATTTAATTATAAATTGCCCTTCCTTGGAAGTAATGACAAATTTACATTTTTAAATTGTGTATTGCGAATGTAATGGTGTTAACAACTTGGAGTTTTTAAATGCATTGAATTATCATATCTTTTAAAATAATCATAAGCTGCTTAAATATAAATTCTACCTTGTCCTCACATTGTTTAGACACACTATGCTGTGCAAGCTCGACGATCTAGAAGTGTCACCAGAAAGCGTAAACGTGAAGAATCTCAACCACCAACATCTAAAGTCCGCAGTCGGAGCATTTCTCGCACTCCACGTGATCTTTCTGGTGTGCGTGATGAAAAGGTTTGTTCCTAATACACATTACACTTGTTTTCAATGATACATTTTGATTTTTTTTAATATGCTGTAATTCATCTCAATTCCACGTATACAAAAACATTGAGTCCGTTTGCGACAGTCATCAATAATTTTGCTTATATTTCCCCAATAGAAATTTGATCATTTTGGAACTTTGTGCATTTAACATCCCTTGATAAAATTTGAGATGATTTACTTGTTGTATAAGACTGGCACTTTTGTTTTTGTTGTCTTTGGGAGGAAATCAAAGGTTTGGGAAGCTGATGTCTGTTAGCTAGATCCAAATCCTCCTGTTTCTTATATTCTTACATTTAACTAATTTGCTTGAGTCTTTGAGGAAGTAATGGAGGGTATTGTGACGAAGTGCTATACAACAGGCTTGTGAGCAATGATAGAGCTATGGAATAGAAGGGATGGGGATTTCGGGTTGGGGGGTGTGTTGTGGTGGTGGAGGAAGAGTGATCCTCGAACAAAGGACTGTTGTCTCTGGATGCACAGTAGGCAGTAATGAGATGAGGAAAAATTACTTCAGTGAGAAGTGGAATTTTGTATCACAGAAGAATGTGGAGACCAAGCATTGAGTATTATTAGGAAATAAATTGATAGGTTTCTGGATGAGTATGGAGAGAGAATGGGAGTATAAATGGATGTCAGTGGTGATGTTGAGTGGAAGAACAGACTTAAGGGGCAGAATGATCTTCTATTTATTGTGTTTTGAAGAGGTGGCTTGATTAAAAGATTAAAGATTCTGAGGGATCTTGACAGGTTGGATGTGGAAACGATCTTTCTTCTTATGGGAGAATTTAGAACTATGCATTACTGTTTAAAAGTCAAGAATTGCCCATTTAAAACATTGAGGCTAATGATTTTCTCTGAGGGTCATGAGCCCTTGGAACCACTACTCCTGAAAAGGTCGTGGAGGCAGAATCCATGAAAATTTTTAAGACAAAGTAGATTCTTGTTAAGTAAGGGCATGAAAGGATATCAGGAATAGGTGGAAATGCGGAATTACAGTTACAATCAGGTCGATCTGAATGGTTGAGCATGCTCAAGGCGATGAATCTTCTCATATTCCTAATTCTTTTGTTTATCCAGAGATAGTAGGAACTGCAGATGCTGGAGAATCTGAGATAACAAGGTGTAGAGCTGGATGAACACAGCAGGCCAAGCAGCATCAGAAGAGCAGGAAGGCTGACGTTTCGGGCCTAGACCCTTCTTCAGAAATGGGGGAGGGGAAGTGGGTTCTGAAGTAAACAGGGAGAGAGGGGGAGACGGATAGAAAATGGATAGAGGAGAAGATAGGTGGAGAGGAGACAGACAGGTCAAAGAGGTGGGGATGGAGCCAGTAAAGGTGAGTGTAGGTGGGTAGATAGGGAGGAGATAGGTCAGTCCTGGGAGGACGGACAGGTCAAGGGAGCGGGATGAGGTTAGTAGGTAGGAGATGGGGGTAGGGCTTGAGGTGGGAGGAGGGGATAGGTGGGAGGAAGGACAGGTTAGGGAGGCGGGGATGAGGTGTGGGAGGGGAGATTTTGAAGCTTGTGAAGTCCACATTGATACCATTGGGCTGCAGGGTTCCCAAGTGGAATATGAGTTGCTGTTCCTGCAACCTTCGGGTGGCATCCTTGTGGCACTGCAGGAGGCCCAGGATGGACATGTCGTCTGAGGAATGGGAGGGGGAGTTGAAATGGTTCGCGACTGGGAGGTGCAGTTGTTTAGTGCGAACCGAGCGTAGGTGTTCTGCAAAGCGATCCCCAAGCCTCCGCTTGATTTCCCCGATGTAGAGGAGGCCACAACGGGAACAGCGGATGCAGTATGCCACATTCGCAGATGTGCAGGTGAACATGTGCTTGATGTGGAAAGTCTTCTTGGGGCCTGGGATGGGGGTGAGGGGGGAGGTGTAGGGGCAGGTGCAGCACTTTCTGCGGTTGCAGGGAAAAGTGCCGGGTGTGGTGGGGCTGGAGGGGAGTGTGGAGCGGACAAGGGAGTCACGGAGAGAGTGGTCCCTCCGGAAAGCAGATACGGGAAAAATGTCTTTGGCGGTGGGGTCGGATTGCCGATGGCGGAAGTGTCGGAGGATGAGGCGTTGGATCCGGAGGATATCTCTGGCAACCACCTAGAAACCGATATCCATTTCAAGCCCACCGACTCCCACAGCTACCTAGAATACACCTCCTCCCACCCACCTTCCTGCAAAAATGCCATCCCCTATTCCCAATTCCTTCGTTTCCGCCGCATCTGCTCCCAGGATGAGGCATTCCACTCCTGTACATCTCAGATGTCCTCGTTTTTCAAGGATCGCAACATCCCCACCCCAGTGGTCGAAAACGCCCTCGACCTTGTCTCCCGCAACTCATCCCTCACACCCGCTCCCCGCAATAAGAACCAAAACAGAATCCCCCTTGTCCTCACGTACCACCCCACCAACCTCCGGATCCAACGCATCATCCTCCGACACTTCCGCCATCTGCAATCCAACCCCACCACCAAAGACAATTTTCCCTCCCCACCCTTATCTGCTTTCCGGAGGGACCACTCTCTCCGGAACTCCCTTGTCCGCTCCACACTCCCCTCCAGCCCCACCACACCCGGCACTTTTCCCTGCAATCGCAGGAAGTGCTACACCTGCCCCTACACCTCCCCCCTCACCCCCATCCCAGGCCCCAAGAAGACTTTCCACATCAAGCACATGTTCACCTGCACATCTGCTAATGTGGTATACTGCAACCGCTGTTCCCGTTGTGGCCTCCTCTTCATCAGGGAAACCAAGCGGAGGCTGGGGAATCGCTTTGCAGAACACCTACACTCGGTTCGCACTAAACAACTGCACCTCCCAGTCGCGAAGCATTTCAACTCCTCCTCCCATTCCTCAGACGACATGTCCATCCTGGGCCTCCTGCAGTTCCACAAGGATGCCACCCGAAGGTTGCAGGAACAGCAACTCATATTCCACTTGGGAACCCTGCAGCCCAATGGTATCAATGTGGACTTCACAAGTTTCAAAATTTCCTCTCCCACACCGCATCCCAAAACCAGCCCAGCTCGTCCCCGCCTCCCTAACCTGTCCTTCCTCCCACCTATCCCCTCCTCCCACCTCAAGCCCCACCCCCATCTCCAACCGACTAGCCTCACCGCCCCCTTGACCTGTCCGTCCTCCTTGGACTGACCTATCTCCTCCCTACCTCCCCACCTACACTCACCTTTACTGGCTCCATCCCCACCTCTTTGACCTGTCTGTCTCCTCTCCACCTATGTTCTCCTCTATCCATCTTCTACCCGCCTCCCCCTCTCTCCCTATTTACTTCAGAACCCCCTTCCCCTCCCCCATTTCTGAAGAGGAGTCTAGGCCCGAAACGTCAGCCTTCCTGCTCCTCTGATGCTGCCTGGCCTGCTGTGTTCATCCTGCTGTACACCTTGTTATCTCTTTTTTTTAATCCATTGCTTCTGTACATGCTGGTCAATGTCTGCTCCAATTCAAGCAACACTTACATTTTTAACATGCTTAGAATTTGTTTTCAGATTCTTCCATGGCCTAACCCCTTCCTATATTTGTAATATTCACTAGACCACAGCCCTCCGTGCAATCTATGATCATCTAATTCTGGTGTCTTCAGCAGAACTGATTTTAATTACTCCACCGTCCGTGGTCATGCCTTTAGCTGCCCTGCCCCTAAGCTCTGGAATTCCTTCTCTAAATGTCTTTGACTTCTTTAACTAAGCTTTTGGTCATCACCTTTAATCTCTTCATATATCTAGGGACTTTTTTCTGGCCTTAATGTTCTTGTGAAATACCATAGGATGTTTTGTCCTATTTAATATGCTATATAAATATAAACTGTTAACACTATGTCATCCTTGTCTTTGCATTTTTTTTGACTTTAATTATTTTTGTTCTGCTTAGATGTTGAAGAAGGTTAAAAAGATGATGAAGAACTCCCAACAGGACATGAATCGCATGGGAAAGAAAGGAGAGGCTGACCGACATGTATTTGATCTTAAACCAAAGCATCTGTTTGCTGGCAAGCGAAAAATGGGTAGAACAGACCGTCGATAAACTAAAAAGAGGATAGCCCACTCTAAATTGCAGGACTGTGTTCAATTTGCAACCCATCAGAAAAGAAGCTATAAAGCATCTTGATTTACACATGATAGAAGGACTGAGTGCGAGAAGATCTTGAACAGAGGAAATATCTTGTCAAGAATATAATTGTACTTTTGAAAAGAATGAATCTGAATGTTAAATTTGAGCTTTGTTGCTCACTCAAGGACATGGTTTCTGAACTCAAGCAATAATGTATAAGAAACATTTTTTCGAAACTGAATTAGTATACTGTTGGAAAGTCTGACAAAATCCTACATTGAAAAGTTGCTGAATGCTACCAAATATCTGCAGGTGACGGCAATTTGATTTTCTGAATACAATTTTAGCAATGTGCATTGTAAATGGAATTATCAGTTCTTGCATTGGTAAACAAGATTTAATTTGTGTTCATTAAATGGATCTGACTTTAAAAGTGGGCTTATTATTTGGTTCATAATTGCACAGTATTGTAATCCAGACTGCCTCTGGTCTAGAGTCCAGAAATGTCAGGTATTTTCCATTTAAAATTTCTTAACATTGCTGTCCTGTTTGTTACTTAAGGAGAGTTTTTGTATTGTTTGAAAAGTTTTGAGATCTTGTCTTCCACTGGTTTTAAAACTGCACAGTACATTTATTTTGTGTTGTTTAAGCTGTAAGCAGATCTAGCCTTAAACTTCTTCAAGGTGGACATGCCTGGAAGAGACTTAAATACTAAGCCTTATACTCTTCGGAGGCTTTTTTCCCTATATTTTAGGAAAATTATATGCTTTGACTTAACTTATTTCATTTTGCTTTCTCAAGTATTTTGCCTGTTGTGATCTCTGCAACATGAAATGAGATAGCACCAAAATGCTAAAGCCCTTTTCTTTTAAAATTAAGATAAATTATTTGATTTTTGAGTGCATTTCCAAAAATCTAAGTAATAAAATTAATTTTAAAAAAGTATGTGTAATACATTTTAAAACATATAACTCTTAAAATACATTTCACATGTTTTTCCAGAACAAATACTTGATAAATTCTGTAGATAATGAGTAGTATTGGTGTTGGTCATTAAGCTTACATGTGTTTTATTAGTAGTGTTACAAGAAATATTACCCTCTGACTCAAGTAATGTTACTGAAAATGTGCAGTCATGCCATTTTTCCAAACTGAGGAAAGTTTGTTTGGATATTGTGTAACCAGTGGATTTTTCTTTTCCCACCCTATTTTTCAGTCTTAGCCCATGTGAGTGCTCGTGCACCATTCTGTCCCTCAAATAAAGGTGTCACTCAGATTTCAAGTTTCCCTTATTTGTTGACTTTTCCCTCCTGTTTAAGTTACCCAAGATATCTCTGGTTTCTGCTGGGAGACTTCATCTTTTTCGGAAAGCTGGTACTGTCCAAGTGATGAATGGAACTTAAAAGAGAGGTGTGGAAAACTAATGGAATGTTCGCCTTTATATCGAGAGGACTGGAGTATAAGGATGCAGAGGTTATGCTGCACTTATGCAAAACCCCACTTGGAGTACCATGTGCAGCTCTGCCCACCACACCTTAGGAAGCATATATTGGCTTTGGAGAGAATACAATGCAAGTTTGCAACAATGATACCTGGACTTCACGGGTTAAGTTCTGTGGAGAGATTACACAAATTAGGCCTGCTTTTACAAGGTTAAGGGGTGATCCAATCAAAGTCTTAAAGATATTAACAAGAGATAGTATTATCTAGCCTATTTGCACTGGTTAGGAATTTTAGAATTAGGCACATAGTCTGTGGATTAGTGCCAGACTGTTCGGGAGAGATGTTACGGAGCACTTCTTTATACACAGGGTGGTAGGTAGAAGTTTGGAACTCTTCCACAAACAACAGTGAATGCAATCAGTTGTGTTAAATATTATTTTTTTTTTTTTGTTAAGCAAAGGTATTAAGGGATATGGGCCAAAACAAGGTATGTGGAGGTAGGCCACAGATCACTGATCTCATTGACTGGCAGAACAGGCTTGCAGGGCTGAAACTCCTGTTCCTATGCGTTAACAATGTATGTAATTATTTGAGAGCTGTTTTTTTTAATTCATTCACGGGATGAGGGCATCACTGGCTAGGCAGCATTTATTGCCCATCGGGCAGTTAAGAGTCAACCACAGTGCTATGGGTCTGGAATCACATGTAGGCCAGACCAGATAAGAATGGCAGTTTCCTTCCCTAAAGGACATTAGTGAACCAGATGGGTTTTTCTGACAATCAACAATGGATTCATGGTCATCATTAGATTGTTACCATCCAGATTTTTATTGGAATCAAATTACACCATCTCACATGGCAGGGTTTGAACATTTGTCTCCAGAACATTAGACTCTTAATTCCAGATATTTATTGAATTCAAATTCCAAAATTTGCCACGGTGGGATTCAAACCCAGCTCCCCAGAATGTTATCTTGGTTTTCTGAATTAGCAGTCCAGCAATAATACCACTAGGCCACTGCCTCCCCTAATAGTCAATTTAAGTGTCAGCTTGTTTCATTCCTGAATCAGATGTTGGTGCATTCATGTTCTGTTCCGGTATCTCAATCTATGTTGGTACTTCAGTTTTGAGAGTGTTGTACAATTAGAGGGATATTTTCTCAGATCTCCTGTCACTGTTTGAAGAATATTTAAGTTCTTTCATGGCTGGCCCATGTAACTGAAACAAATAATCATAGAATACCTAGTAGAGAAAGAGACAATTTGGTCCACTGAGTCTGCACTGATCCACTGAAGACAATCCCAACCAGACCGATGTTCCCCTTGCCACATTGCCCCACCTCTTCCATCGCTACCATGTAGTTCAGACACTATGGAACAATTCAGCACAGCAATCCACATAACCCGTACCTCTTTGGACTGGGGAGAAAACTGGAGCACCTGGCAGAAACCCTCACAGTCGTCCAAGGGTAGAATTGAACCTGGCTGAGTCCCTGGTGCTGTGAGGCAGCAGTACTAACCATTGTGCCACCTGAGAGCTATCAGGTAATACATTTCGGTGCTAGAGTTTCTACAAGATTGACTGCTTTGAGTACTTCACTAGCTCCACAACGCACCTTGGCACAGCTTAAGTAAAGATTAAGTATTCACTGGAGAAAAATCAATTATTCCTTAACGGAGAATCCACTAATTTCTCAGTGTTTTCACTCATTGTTTTATATAAATTCTGCATATTTTCCAACATTATGTTTTTAAAAGTGTAAAGAGAAGACCAGCTTTCATATTCTGAAAGATGTAAACATTCCTTCTGAAATAAGAAGTTGGGCTACAAGTCACCTTGTAGTTCCAGTTTTAGTTTTGGCATTTCTTTGCCCTCCAGCATTTTCATCCAGCCAAAAGGAATACTCTTAAGTAATATTTTAATCTCATAGCACAAACATTTGGCTGATATCAAACTACTTCAATGGAAAATTACTGAGGCAGCAACCATGTCAACACTTCTGCAGGTCAAGCAAAACACAGTATTGCAATAAAGCAATGGCTTTATAACCTTCAATTCATTCTGGAGTCCCTGCCTAAGGATCCTGTCAGAAACACTGAATTTACTCAACTGGGGGCTGAAATCTAGCTGTAGCAAAATCTCCCTTTAAATTTATATCCTCAAAGATCCCAATAATATTCTGGGAAAGGGTTCCATTGGTTTTCTGAACAGCGCTAGTTTGTGTAGTTGAATTATCCGATCATTTTACTCCCACTTCCCCTGACTGTCTTGATATACAAAAAAATGTGATTTGTTTGTGCATGGACTTGATACTATTGGAAGACTGAACTATGAAAAAGTTTTCATAATTAAGATAAGGATTTAGATTTGGATAGCTACTCAGTGATGGATATGAACTTGATCTATTCCACCCAAAGTTAAGGTACTGCAACAACATTAAACAGCTTTGGAAAGAAACATGCACCAAGAGCCAACTAGAATTAACTTTAAATTGACTGCACACCATGATCCCTACCTCTACTCTCCAACCTCCACCGTTAGAATCATCTCAATAGTGGTGGCACGGAGAGAGCAAAGCTAGTAAACTTTTAAACAACACCTGCCAGAATTACAATAAATACATGATTTGCTTTTTTTTTAAAAAAAATAACTGGTTTAACAGTTAATATTAGACAATAATTCTAATTCACAAGTGATAAATAAAATATATGCTGGCTTAAGTTGTGTTGCTTACTGAAATGAACTCAAACTCCATTTTATTAAATTAGAAACAGAGTGGAAAATGTTATGTGCGTAATTTGTGTTTATAATGTGCAGAAAATTAGTTCTTTAACACTACTGCACATGCAGGAAGTCAAAAGCCTTCTACATCCGGTGAATTTTCTCATGATTTACGAACTGCTTCAGATTATGTAGGTTATCCCACCACATAAAAAGAAACTTCTCAGCAATAAGTTTAAACCAAGGTGTGATTTTCACTTCGTTGCTTTCTGCCTTTTCCAACAGGTTCTGGAGTTCATCTTTAGTCACATAGCAGTAACTCTGTATCTCATTGGGGTCAGGTTTTAAAGTTACATTCTTCTGGATGAAGATAATATAATCAATTTCATGTTCTCCCCAGATTCCATCAGACTGAGCCTTGTAGTGAATACGTGTAAGATAGTTCATCTCTTCCAGAGGAACCTGATGTCAAAATATTTTAACAGTTAGTTAGGAGAGAAAAGAGATCAAATATGTGTTAGGATGTCAAACAATTTTAACCAGGTTTTTAAAAAAAAAAAAAGGGGGTGAATCTGGACTTAGTCTACAAACTCATTTATCCGTGTTGGCAGGCATTTTGCTTTTAAATTTAGTTCAGAGCTAGGGGCGTATATTTTGCATTAGTATGAATATTGCACAATGAGAAGTTAAATTGTTTGAATTGATGGGACACACAAGCTGTTCATTAAAATGCAGAAAAGCTTGACAAACTCACATCCCTACCACTGGACCAGAAGGCCCAGGTAAAAGTCCCACCTTTCCAGGGGTGTCTAATAACATTTGTTGAAATATTGACAATTTACTCTTAACTTTACACAATACAAAAATACTCCATGACAAAAGATGGAAAGAAAGTGTGTATGTTCTATATCTGCAAGAATCTTAAAAAGGGCAAAACAATTTAGACTTCCTTGGAGTAAACCATGAGCACAAGGATAAAAAAAAACCTAGTATATCAAAAGGATCATATGGAGAACTTTGTTTTCAAATAGTCGTGAGGATTTCATTCAATGTTATTTCTATCCTCATTTGATTTATGGATTTATGCATCACTGCCTCTTAGGCTAGTGTCAAACAAACCTGACATTTATATTTAGCACAAGTTTGTCCCTCACACTTGGAATTCTCATTTGAGACCCACATTCAGTGTTATAAAAATTAAGTATTTTATTGTATAAAATTATTCCATTCAACATTTTACTTAAAATGAAACTTGTCACCACTGAGTGGTTCCCATCATGTAAGGAATCAGCCAATTCCCACATTAGAAAATTAGATAGCTCACGATTAATGATGCACAATAAGTCGTAGCCTCACTTCTTACCAATACATACTTGAAGGCTTTTTTTCATGCCAGTCCACACTACAACTTAAAGCAGCAAAAGGTAGTTTTGAGCAGCTGCTGCTCAAATCTCTTACAACTTCTTAAATTGTATGCCTGAAATTTAAGTTTTCATTCCTCAAAAAAAAAACAAGTCCATTTAAAACTCCTTAAAGATTTGCAAGCATTTTAGAGGGCCACAGTCCATCAACTTAAGAATTCTTTATATATTTAGAGTCACCATGTCTACTGACTCCCTCTAGTGTACTTGCCTTTTAAAAAAAATCCAAAACTGCTTGATTAAACCAGTTGTGGTAGTGAGTTCCAAATCCAACTTATGAGTCAAGACATTTCTCAGTTTCTTATTCGACTTGTGAACATAAAGTGGATTGGCCTACTCCCTTCAAGTCTGCTCAGCCAATTGATAAGATCATGGTTTTTGTCTTAAGTCCACTTCCCAGTCTAACCACCCCATGTACCTTGACTACCAAAAATCTGACCCTGCCTTAAATTAATTCAAATGACTTAATCTTACTGATTTCTGGAGAATTCTCCAGATTAAGCACCCTCCAAAAACATTTGTCCTCATTTGTTGCAGAAATGTGGTTTCTCATTCTTAAACTGTGTCCAAGTTCTGGTCACTCCTACAAGGGAGGGATTTCTGATTACCACCCTGTCCAGTCCCCTCAGGATATTGTATTTCAATTAGATTACTTCTTATTTCTTCTCAACTCCCACAGGCACAGGCCCAACTGTTCTTTCTACTAGCTCTGGTTTGTCCAATGTCAAATCATTCTTTAGTCTATTGTAAATTGAAAAGGTCTAAGGTGACATCACAGACACAGACACAGACATGCCTCAACAGGAATTATTCCGGTTTTGATTTGGTCACCACAGTATGACTGGTGAACATATCTGCACAACGCATCTTTTACTCATTGTTATCGTGGCACAAGAATATAATGCCAACTTGTAAAAGTACTTTTAAACATATAAAAAAAACTAGGATGCTTCAAAAGACAGAAGTCATTACAGTATTGGCCACCGATTTCAATGAATAAGGGGACAGAGGAGTTGGCAGGAGTCCATTCTGTTCAATTTCTCAGGCATGCAGTTTACAGACAACTGTTACATACTTTAGCTACTAACGTTTCAGAAATTTACAATAAAACAGAAATTTCTTTTGGAGATGGAAATCTGGCCGTAATAGATCTGCTGTACATTTTAAGATTGTTGGGTCTGCAGTATGGCTCATTTGAGAAGTCTCGTGCATGAGACCTGACTGAATTAGTTTTGCTATTTAATTAAGGCTCCTCACCTGCTGGGGAGGTATTCCAAACTCTTCCTTTAACCTGCGCTGGGCTGCTTGTCTTACACCAATAGCATCTTTCTCCTCAATTTCTGTTGTGGTGTTAAGAGGGTGACTGCAGCAAGTGTTTGTAAAACAACCTAAAAAAGAACACATCCTTTTAAAATGATAAATTTGAATGCATTGTTAACACAAATCTACATAAACATAAGTAACCACTTCCATAATGGCTGGCTAGCAGTCAGCCACATCCACAAACTTCAATTACACCAAATTTAGCACAAATCACCCCCAACTGCTTAACATTCTGCATCTGCCTGTCAAGTAGACTGGAAAAGAGACTTCGCAGCTTGCATCCAGTGAGATTCAATAAGGGCAGGAGAGATATGCTTTCAGGACAAGCATGGTGAACAAGAGCTCAAGAGTGACCTCCAAACAGGTTTACTGGAAAAAATGACAGTTACACAATTCAATAAACTTTATTTACATATTACAATCACGTTTAGTGTATGCCAATGTCTTTATGTCTAGAAAAAAAACAATTTGGCCAGACAAAACCAAAATGTTATAATTCAACCCACACTTTGTCTGTGGCAGCATTCTCCCCTTAAAAAAAAAAATGCAGCACCTTTCTGCTCTGGCCTCCACATTATTCCACACCAATTTGGTTTTGTTTTTAAAAATGCCTCTGAATTGGACAGCAAGCCACTTCGTTCAAATGGAAAAACAGGAATGGAACAAATGCTGGTGAGCCCTATATTCCATTAAAGTGATATACTTTCAAAAATCTCATCAGTCATCATCCATGATTCACCTCCAGGCCAAGGTCTGGAGCATCTCCAGCCACAGGAAAACACAAAAGCTGAAGGAAAAGGGACAATTCCTGACTAAATAAGTTCAAACTAAAATATTAAATTACAAATCCACTACATACTAAAATGGTGAAGATCAATGTAATTGTTTTACATCATATTCTGAAGAGAAAAAAATTGGAAAGTAGTCTAATTAATTACCTGCTTTACTCAGACAAATACTCTATGTAACATATTAAATATACAAAAAGATTTTAGGCATTACCCTTGTAGCTAATATCCTCAAAATGTTATAGCACAGCAAGATGGCATCTCTGACAGTACTGCACTCATTCAGCACTGCCATGAAGTGTCAACTTTAATTTTGTTGCTCAGGTCCTGCATTGGGACTTGATGCCAGAACCTTCCAACTTAGAAAGGGCTGAGAATGGTATCAACTGTGAAGCCCTAGGAACCCTGATGACTAAAGTAAAACAAACTAGGGTGAGAGATTTTCACTGCCAATTCCCTAGGATCTTAAAGCCAAGAATATTCAGGTGGATAGAGTTGTTAAGAAGGCGTATGGTGTGTTAGCTTTCATTAATAGAGGGATTGAGTTCAAGAGCCGTGAAGTTATGCTCCAGCTATACAAAAGCCTGGTTCAGCCACATCTGGACTATTGTGTCCAGTTCTGGTCGCCTCATTACAGGAAAGATGTGGAAGCATTGGAAAAGGTGCAGAGGAGATTTACCAGGATGTTGCCTGGAATGGAGGGAAGGTCTTACGAGGAAAGGTTGAGAGAGCTAGGGCTTTTCTCTTTAGAACGACGAAGGATGAGAGGTGACTTGATAGAGGTGTACAAAATGATCAGAGGTATAGATAGAGTGGACAGCCAGAGACTTTTCCCTCGGGTGGAGGTAGCTATTACGAGGGGGCATAGTTTTAAAGTGGAGTGGAGGTAGATATAGGGGAGTTGTCAGAGGTAGGTTCTTTACTCAGAGTGGTCAGGGCGTGGAATGCATTGCCGGAGAGGGTAGTGGAGTCGGCCTCATTAGGGGCATTTAAGCGGCTACTAGATAGGCATATGGACGATAGTATAAGGTAGGGGTGGAGGTTAGATAGACCTTAGGATTCGGGTAAAAGTTCGGCACAACATCGTGGGCCGAAGGGCCTGTACTGTGCTATGTTCTATTTTGACTTGCAAAGCACAGCAAAATCAAATTTTTTTTTACCTGGGAATGTGATCTTTGCATCAGATCTCTGTTGCAGCAAGAGTTTCCCCTCACTGTTGAAGATGAAGACACTGAAAGCTCTGTGGAGTAATCCTGGCAAACAAGAAATTCGTTATTCATCACACTTGCACACAGTTATAGAGTCCGATGTACATCACGGAAACAAACCCTTCGGTCCAGCTCATCCAGGCCAACCCCGTATCCTAAATTAACCTAGTCCCATTTGCCAGCATTTGGCCCATATCCCTGTAAACCCTTCCTATATATACCCATCCAAATGCCTCAGGTCCCTTTTATATCTTTCCCCTCTCACTTTAAACCAATGCCCTCTAATTTTAGACTCCCCTACCCTGAGAAAAAGACCTTAGCTATGCACCCTATTCATGCCCCCTCATGGTTTTATAAACCTTTGCAAGGTCACCCCTCAACCTCCGATGCTCCAGGGAAAACAGCCTGGTCAGCCTCTCCCTACAGCGCAAACCCTCCAACCCTGGCAACATCCTTGTAAATCTTTTCTGCACGTTAAGCATCAACACAATCTGTGTGCTGACATTCTAGCAGCTGCAGTTACAATCATATTTCCTGGGAAGCACAAGAAATCAGAAAAGGAGTAGGCCATTCAGGCCCTCAAGTATGCTCCAACATGTAACAGGATCATGCCCAATATGACATTCCTCACATCCACAAATAGATTTAAGAAAACAGAACAAGTAATTAATACTGTTCTGTCCATAAATATTTTGGACAAATAAATTTGTCTTTTCATTTCAAAGATTTAAAATTCAGATTGCAGATTCTATTATTAATTATTTTCAGCAACCTTTCCCCAAAAACTTTCTTGTTTTTAAGATGAAAAGTTACAAAGGTCTATGCAGCTGAGAATTTTCTTCTCTTGCTCCTCCCAAGTTTCAAAATTTAGACATCCACACTGTTGAAATCACAATATAGCATAATATCCATCCACATTGAGACTGTTTGATTGGTAGCAACTTTTTGAAATAAATTGCTCATTCTTCATTTTCAAGAGTTAAATGACTTTGTAATGTTGCTTTTCGATAAGTCGTGATCTGACACCAAACATCATTATGAAACCCTCAATTTAACAATAGCACATGCTACTGGAATGGGCAGGATAAACTTTGATCATGGAGACCAGCAAGTCTGTATCAGTGTTTTCCTTCCACAGAACTTACATGTTCTCCAGAGAATAGGAGGCTTCAATACTTTGATCAATTTTTTGGTGAAAAAACAACTTACAAGTCACAGCTATTTACTCAATATTTTACTAAGAAGATACATAGAGTCTCCATGGTAGAGGTGCTCTGGTTGGACAGGGATTGCCTGAAGATGTTTCCATGCTATCACCCTTCTCATCTGGGCTGGAGTACAGAAAATGTCAAAAGATGAAGTAGTTAACTAGTGTTTTGTAATCCTGATAACTTATGTCAATCTCGAATGACAGTCAAGATACAAAGTGAACCTGAGAATACTTTATTCACCTTTATTTATGTTCTGGTTAAGATGGCAATTTTTCTTTGTGTCTGCTCCAATTCTTTTATCATTCTCATCAATCAGGATGCACATTTCAGCCAATAGCTGGACCTGCTTTTCATCCAGGTTGTCCAAGTTTATTTCTGGCATTGTTGCTGTATTCCTTCGTCCAGTATACCTGGTAACAAGGGATACAACAAAGCCATGAAATTACTTTAGTCAAACAACAATTCCAACTTTTACTTGCAACTTGTGTATTAAACATATGTTACAAAGTTTCATTTTGTAAAAACAGACTCTCAGTTGAGATGATGTTAGCATTAGAATTTAGAATTAAAATTATAAAACAAAAACTTGTTTAGTTTCTTCTGGAGCAAGGTGGTATCCAAATACATATCACAGCAACACCAATACCATACAAGAGATTACTTTTCTCTTCACCTTTCCACCATAACATCTTAATTTCAGCCAGGCCAAGTTACCAGAAAAAGAAAAAGAGTAAAGTGACGAAGCAACAAGCATCTGTGACTCTTGTGGCTACTTACAGGAAAAAAAGTCACTTATCCTCCCACTAAGGGAACAATGCCTACATCACTTAAAGCAGCAGTATAATCTATTGGGAAGTGTAGTGCCATTTTACACTGGTGCACATTTATATCAGGTTTCAAGGAATAACACTCATGAACTCATCCCTTGTTCTGGTAGTTTAGGCACAGACCTAGTTTTTACAAATAAAGTTTTAAATGGATAGACAGTAGATACAGAAATGTGGTTTCCCATGATTAGAGAGTCTGGAATATTCAGACATCAGGTTAGGATGAGAGGTAAATCAGTTAAGATTGATCTGAGGAGATACCACTTCAGTCAGAAGACAGTGAATCGTTAGAATTCTTCACCCCAGAGGACTGTGGGAATTCAATCATTAAGCAAACTCAGCAGAAATCAAGATTTCTAATCACAGGGGGTCCCCAATTTAACAACATCCCGACTTACAAACATTCATCCTTACAAAAGTCATTCCACGTAGAGTTGTATTAAATATTAAACTTTAAAGTTCCAACATATGAATGCTACTTCATATTTACCAATGGCTATTTTATATTGTCCTGTATTGCGTTCTGCCTTGCATACAAATTGACTTGTGAACAGACCCTGTTTGCAACCCAGAGATTGCTTGTTCTCATTATATCAAGGAATAGTGCAGCAATTAAGGGAGATGATCTAGAATTGTCTCCCAGGATTGAGGTACTGATTGGATTACTCCTGTTCCTTTGTTCCATAAAAGGTTTCCAATCTAACTAGGCTGCACAGACTAACTGTACTATAGGTTCCTGAGACACAGAGCCTCGCTACATTTAGGAGGAAAGCAATATGAGGACGAAACGAAGGACCGAGATATAATGAGGTTAGGAAAAAAAGAGGCGAGGAGATACTCATCTGCAGCAGAAACGCTGGCACAGTCTATTTGGGCAGAATAGCCTGATTTAAATTGCGGGATCTTTCTACAAAACACTTCATCCTACAGATTCAAATTACAGTCACAAACAAAAAACAAAATCAGGAGTTGCTGGAAAGGCTCAGCAGGTCTGACAGCATCTGTGAAGAAAAAAGAAGTTAACATTTCGGGTCCGGTGACTCTACCAGACCTGCTGAGCTTTTCCAGCAACTCCCGTTTTTGTTGGTGATTTACAGCATTCGCAGTTCTTTTGGTTTTTATCAAAACTACAGTCCCTGCAGTTTCGGTAACCCAAGCCCGTCGAGAAACTAATAAAGAAATTATTCCTTTCATAACAAGGAGGCGAGGAAGAAATTACTGGGTTTACTTTGACATGAAAGCAAACTGATTCTGGTTGCTAGAGAATCCGAGACAACAAGGTGCAGGGCTGGATG